AACGAATGGTCCGATTTGAAAAATGCAGTTTTAATTTTTAAAATCGTATATAAGCGATTGTGGGCGTTAAAGGGGGCGTGGCACCTTTTTGAAACAAACTTGCGCTGCGTAGGAACTCCTAGAATCTGCATGCAAAATGCCAATCTTCTAGCTTTTATAGTTTCCGAGATCTCAGCGTTCATACGGACAGACAGACAGACGGACAGACAGACGGACAGACAGACGGACAGACAGGCGGACAGACGGACATGGCTAGATCGACTCGGCTAGTGATCCTGAACAAGAATATATATACTTTATAGGGTCGGAAACGCTTCCTTCTAGCTGTTACATACTTTTGCACGAATACAATATACCCTTTTACTCTACGAGTAACGGGTATAAAAATCTGGGGTAACCCAAGATATGCGAAAGAACGCTGAACCAAAAACTCAAATCAATAAATAAAACTGAATCTAACAACAATTGTGACATGATTTAAACAGGTGCATAATTACTTTAATTAATAAGTGCTACGCAAAACAGCTCAATGAGCGACGAAAAAAAGAATGAGCGTAGAAGCTCCGTAAGCCAAAGAAACGGCTTACTCTTACTTCTCAACCCGGGAGATTGAAAAAGAGCAACTCGGCTCTAGTGACCGTTAACAGCCAAAGGGCACGGTCTTGCACAACCGTTCTCCTCACTCCCACTCCCACGTCATGGAGTTCGCAAACGAAGTGCACCCAAATATGAAAAAATGTGGATGCTGCGGAGGAAATCATACCGCCGTATGATAGTTATAGGGCTGTGTGGTCTACAAGGAGCTGAAAAGTCACACGCGATAAGCGCCATCCAAACGCAGAAGTCTTGTTCGCTAAGTCTGAAAGGATGGAAAATCCACTACAGCCTCAACAAGAAAGCCCTCAGCAGGCCTCAGGATAGCCAAAAAAAACAAAGCGTGATGGAGCTAATATCATTCATAAAAAAGAACGACTATGCAAACACTTGTTTAAAACCAGAACAGTCAAAATAGTCGATGTCTATCTACAAATATCAATGTGGAACGCCAATGGTGTCTCACATCATAAACTCAAGCAAATAAAACTTTTAAATAAAAGGTTATCCATTTTACCGCACAGATCAACCGGATGGAAAAGTCCATGGCGGAAACGGAATCTTAATCAGAGCACGCATTAAACACCATCTTCACCAAAAGTTTGTAACAAACTACTTTCAGGCAACATTTATAAAAATGCAGTCAAGTAACGGAAACCTTTCAATTTCTGCCATCTTCTGCCCTCCTCGCTTTACAGTCTCTGAAGGACAATTCATGGATTACAATGCTTAACATACGTTCTGGGGATCACGTCTTGTGACTCCCAAAGGAAGACAATTGTACAATGTAATTAAAAGATTTAAGAAACAAATTTGACTATGTTTCCCCTGAAAGCCCCACAGCTGGGCAGCAAACCCCCGAAAGGGTGTGCCAAAGCACTGACCTACCTTCAGACCACTCGCCTGTGCTAATAACACTTCGCCAAAACCATGAAATAATCGAACACCCCCTCAGGATGACGTCTTACAGAACTAACTGGCTCAAATACGAAAAGTATCTGAATTCTCATATAGAACTCGCCCCTCAATATAATATTGATTCTAATCGAACTTCCAAACTGTGCTATGGAGGTCGTTTGTAAACTCATTAGTGAAATCATTAATATCGGCTACTTCCCAAAGAAGTGTAACAAATCTATCATCTTAATTATACCGGAAAAGACACAATTCCGTCATCGTAGAGACTGCCTTGTTTGTCTAAATTGTTCGAAAAATGCCTTCTAATGCGCTGTATACATAACTTGCTCATATATATCTGGAAGCGCACAATATCATTCCGGCACTGTCATCGAGCAAGTTAACAGATTAACGTAAGAAATACGCTCAACTTTCGATTATCGAGAATATTGTAGCGCTATATTCCTCGATGTATCACAAGCCTTAGACAGAGTCTGGCTTCATGGTCTCAGCCATAAAATCAAAATGCATTTACCGATATACACCCACAAGCGGATCCCCCAAGCCAACGAAGTAACGTACCTCGGCGTCCACCTCGACAGGTGATTAAGCTGGCGCAGACACATCGAATACAAGAAGCTGCACTTAAAACTAAAAGCCAACGGACACCACTGGATTATAAATGCTCGCCTCTATGCCTGGACTAAAAGATCCTGCTGTGCAACTCAACTCTAAAGCCCCTTTGGACATATGGCTACCAGCTGTGGGGGAACGCGAGCAGCAGCAATATAGAAAAAATCCTCAGAACTATCACTGGGGCACCATGGTATGTTCGCAACGAAAACATCAAAGCTAAGGTCTTTGGCATCCTCGCAGTAAAAGACGAAATTGAGAAACAAAAAGTGTCTTACGAAGAAAAGCTTTCTGGGCACCCGAATTCTTTCGCTCGGGGATTGACTCGGGCTTCCATCAGAATCCGCCTGCGACTCAACGACCTCCCAACCAAGTAATATTGTTCAGGGCCGCCTGTACCAGTCAATATGACTTTTAGTTAAGCTAATAAGATAAGATTTGATACACTTATAAAGGATTTCATAAATTTAATAATGACGTACGTGATGCAAGTACACCTGGATCCACTTCTGGTCTTCCTATGACTATTACTATTACTATTACTATTGATCAATTTGGATCAGAGGTCTTGGACCCTCCTACCCAAAAATATTCTGTGAGTGGTAGGAGCTTCGCGGTTTTATCGGATGAAGAATTTGAAGACGCTCTTCCTAATGAGCCCATGGACACTCTGGACTCCTCATCAAAGCCCACTAATGGTCGTCAGCCATCTAAGAATTATATGAAAAATTCTGATATTTCCCCACCAAATAAGTTGAAGCATGGACCGCGCCCTCCTGCCTTTGTAATAAAGGGTGTTACTGATGTCAAAAAACGTATGGAACTTGCAAGGCTGCTGCAACCAATATACATTTCAATATGTATAATGGCAAAACTTTCAAGACTGTGCAAAATGTTTTATGGGCCAAAAATATCCCGTTCTATTCTTGGTAATCAAAATGTGATCGCTCTCTCACAATCGTGGTCATCCACGGATTCAGAAGACATCAATGCTGATCAAGAAGCTGGTAGTCATAAAGTCCATAATATTTGCATCACTCCCGGTAAGGACAATGGTTAGACCCAATGTTTTTTTGTTGAGCTAGAGTCATCGCCCAACAATGTTAAAGCTGTGACAATACACTTTTCCTACAGTATAACCTCAACTGCGAAATTTTGCAGAGAGCTTCGTTAAGCTTTTAGATCATGTCATGTGTTCTAGTCTACGAGATTTACCTACGGAAGGACTAACGCACTTTCTTCCTTCTGATATCAGAAAGAACACAAATTGTTTTTTTTTTTTCGCGCGGAGTCCTTCACTGCAATTGATGTTGCTATATACATGGGTATTTCGTTTAACTTTATGGATGTTAATGAATTAAACGAGCTTAGCTCTGATCACATTTCGCTCGATTTACGTTTGTGTGCTGCAGACTCCCCACAACTGTCAGAACCAAGGCTTCTTTCCCTCCGGGCTAACATTGGTACTTTATGATGATACTGTCTTATATACAAGACAAAACTAAAGCCGATAGTATTAGTGTAAAGGTGGACAAGTTTAAGTTTTTCACGCGAGGGTCATTTCATCTTTTAACATACCCTTCTCAAACGAGCCATAGGCTCTGGTGACTTTAGGCCGGATAAAAAAACTAACTTTTAACCTCTTCCTTCCCAATCAGGATGCAACTGGCTTGCCTAGCACGTTAACTGAATTTTAATAATAGCTTTTTTTTAATAGCTTTTCCTCTCGCATCTCATATTATTGTTTTCACAGAAACCTGGTTAAAGCCGGAGATCCGGAGGTAAATATAAGTTGTCAGCCATTCCTAAGGTTTTGGAATAAATTATTACTCCTGATTTGCAGCACCTATGTAGATCAACTATATTTCTGTGTCAACACGGTTTTATTAACCGTAGATCCACAACCACTAATCTTTTGGAGCTCACTTCATTTGTTGGCTTTAACAGTATTTCTCAAACAGGCGTCATTTACAATGACTTTAGAAAAGCAATTGACTTTGTAAATCCCCATTTACTTGTTCGACAACTTGACCTCTTATGTTTCCAGTTGATCTCCTTATATGGATCTTAAGTTATCTGAGTGCCAGTGCACAAACGGTCCTTTTTGACCTCCGGTGTCCCAAAAGGGAGCCTTCTTGGTTTATGCCTGCAGTAGAAGGATTTTTCCTGCCATTTAAACTTACAATCCGATTTAGATAACTTTAAAAACTGTTGCTGGGATAATTTAGTCAATAAACACGGTTCTAAGTGCAAACGTATGACTTTTTATCGTGTCAATCCCAAATAAGCGACTTACACAAGATAAAATAACTCTTGTAAACGATCTTGGCATATTTTTGGACCCAAAACTAAAGTTTTCTAATTATATTTCGTCCATCGTTAGTAAAGCCAGAGGCGTGCTTGGTTTTATTAAAAACTGTTTAAATACTTCGACGATATGGCACTAAGACTTTATTTATTTCGATAGTCCGTCCGATTCTGGAGTATGGGTCTCCGTTCAGGAGTCCACAATATGGAAAAGATATTGGTCGCATTGAATCAGTACAAAAAAACGTTCTTATAGACTGAGACGCGTTGTTTATTTCTTAAATTGCGTAGTCCGCTTATGATCGATAATTACTAATTACATTCTGATTAATAATTTAAAGATACCGAAAGAAAACTTAAACTTTTCGTAGTACCATATAGATGAGGAGGAAATACGCACCACATATCCGACTGAGCTGAGCAAGAAGTGCACAAAACCAAATCGTCTATATGAAAATCATTTCGTTGTGTAGTGAATACTTACCTAAGGGATACTACACCCCATATCTGACAATAAATATATTTTTTCTTTAGTGTTAAAAAATTGTTCTTTATATTTTTCTTTATAGAACCTAAAAAATCAAATAATGACCACAAATCTTTGGGTTGAACAGGTAAGTAAAATATAATTCTTAAATAATTATCCAATAATTTTTATTGACCCTGTTCCAGTTACCACTTCCGAAAAATCCCAATGGAATCCAATTTTCCTGACTCGTTCTTAAACACACTTTCCTCTGTTATTACTCCGTTAACTACTTCAGAAAACCCCTCACGAAAACTTTCTGCCTGGCCTTTGGCTGACGGATTAATATTAGTCAGCAAATAAATTCATTGGTTTAAAATACTTTGTGATAACTCTTATCATATTCATTAGCTTTGGCGTAATACAATTTTAAATAATTTGTTTGGGATTAATTTAAGCAATCTTTATTATGATAGTTTAACTACGATATGCAATATATTTAATATAAGTTAAAACATTTAGTTTCATCTGCTCTTGCTTTGGGTTTTGTAAACATCAAATTACTATAGCTACATGTCTTTTTGATTCTTACTACATGCAAAAGTCTAAGCAGAAGAAGGCGTCTTGAAAAATTACCTTGATTTCTTTCTCCAATTGGTACATTCTCTTTTGTCTTATGTTTTTATTTATTTAAATTTTTTGCCACCACAACAGATATTTGCAAGGTAGTTTAAAATCATTTTTAAAACAACCTAGACAAAACCTTTCTATATATTGGAATATTATTTCTATGCGTATATAGATATATCCTAAAGTTGTGAGAGGATCTTTATTTTGTTTTAATTTTTTGTTAATTATTTATTTTTTAAAAAATAACTTTATATTTAAAATGCCAACAATATGCTAAAAAAAAGTATGGAAACAAACTTCGACAAGCCAAAAATTTTCTTGCAGAAGTTAAAAAATGAAATAAAACGAGGACGGAAGCTAACTTCGGCAAGCCGAAGTTTTAATACCCTTGTAGACATATATGTAAGATTTATTATAGTATATAGGTTTATTTATTAAAAATATGATTAAGTATATAGCCGAACAGGTAAATTATATTAATTAAGATTCCAAATGACCGACAGAAATTCGCGACTACTTTTGACAACTTTCAACTTATTACGACTTCTGCGACTGGCCTCTTCGACTTGCTTCTGTGACTACTTCTTCGACTTCGACTTCTGTTCTCCTCTTCGGCGCTGCCAATGATGGGTGGTGTGTGTCAAGGATGGGTGTGTCAACTTGTGAGGTGATTGTACCGATGCCACCTTACACTCGGCCATCCTGATCATCATCTGACCCAGATGATCCTTCGTCCTCATCGTCTTCGTCTTCGCTACAACCAAAGTAACGCCACAATTTCATGGAATCAGCAGCGGTTGACGTCTGATTTGGGCCTGGGAACTCTGCAGATTTTTTAACGTCATATCGACCGTTCCGCTTTACGTTGATGATTTCGTAAGGTCCTACAAATTTATTTGACAACTTTTTCCCGTTGACGAATTGAGTCACTCTAATAGCGACTAAGTCACCTAATTGTTATCCGTGGTGGCCTTTCCTCTTTTTGTCAAAGTTCCGCTTGTACGTGTGTTGCGCTTTTTCGATCTGGTTTCTGGCTTCTGTTCTTATTCGGTTGCGCTCGTCTTGAACGCCAGACAATAATTCCTCTTGAAGGATGTTGACCAAATCTGCATCTGATTCGTTTCTCATCTTAATTCCAAACAAAATTTCAAATGGAGTAAATTTTGTTGAAGAGTGAACGTGTGCGTTGATCGCCCGTTGCACCTGAGAAGTGTATTGATACCATTTCGATGGCTCGGCAGTAGACATTTTGGCCAATACAGAAATGATAACCCTGTTAACTCTTTCAATCTGCCCATTTCCTCTGGGAATCCCTGTAGTATTTTCGATGTGTTCAATCTTCCCGTCAGCACAGAACTCCTTGAAAGGCTTAGACGTAAAAGCAGTCCCCTTGTCGCTGATGATACGTTGAGGGTTTCCAAAAATGGCTACCCATGAACTAAGATGTTTTATGACATCATTAGCGTCAGTCGATTTAGTGGGATATATCCAGGTGTACTTTGAAAAGCCATCAATAACTGCGAATATATATTTGTACTTCTTTGCCGTTATATCTAAGGATCCTAGATGATCGACGTGGAGGGTTGATAACGGCTTATCTCCCTTGTCTATGCAATGCAAATAATCTTCTTGTTTTCCGAGTTTTCTGTTGTGGGTTATACACTCGATGCAGTTTGCAATAACTTCCGTAACTTTTTTGTCTAAATGAGGTATGAAGTACTCCTGTTGAATTGAATGCTTTGTTTTTTCTGATCCCATGTGACCAAAATTATGAGCTGTTCGAATAATTGCCTTTTCCATACACTTTGGATTTGCAAGCAACTCTGCTCCGGCAACCTGTTTGTAAATTAAGTTATTTTTCATCGTGCATTGCGCATAAGGTTCTTCCTTCAGGATCTTTGCTACGGCTGATAAGTGCTCATCTTTTTTCTGTGCCTTTAAAATTTGTGACTGCACTTCTGGTGTGACGATCATGACTGGGAATCGACTAAGACTATCTACATGCTTCATTCTGGTGCCAGCACGATGTTCTATTCTATTTTGAACGAAAAATCTTGAAGGTACATAAGCCACTGTACTACTTCACGAGGGATGTCTTTCTTTGTTGTTGTCATCTTAAAGGCAGCGCAGTCTGTGACGAGATTGAATTCGATCCCCATAAGATAATGTCGTTTCTAAATTTGGTTGCTAAATAGGCTGCTTTCACTTCTAAAAAATAGCTGTGTAATTTTTCTTCCTGTGGCGTTGTTTTCTTGCTCCAGTACATAACAGGATGCCCCTTGTTGTCATGCTGCTGGAAAAGTGTTGCCCCAAAACCATCCTTCGACGCGTCTACGTGCAGCTGAGTCTTTGCATTCTGTTTGAAAATTTTTAGGACAGGCTCGCTTGTTAAGGACGACTTCAGTTTTTCTACAGCTCGAATCTGCAAACTATCGATTTTAAATTCTGCGTTTTTCTTTAGGAGTTCGGTGAGTGGTCTTGCCATTAATGCGTACTGTCGGATAAATTTTCTGAAATACCCCGCCAGTCCAAGAAAAGCCTGAACTCCTCTTATATTTTAGGGTATTGGAAAATTTTGCACAGCTTTAACTTTTTCATGGCCTGGCCAAACATGTCCGTTTTCTATTTCGTGTCCCAAAAAGCTTATCTTCTCAAGTATTGGCATTATGAACATTTAATTTCCAAGCCAACCCTTTCACCTTGCTTTAAAACAATCTGCATGTTTTTAAGGCATTGCTCCGCTGAATCACCAAACACAACTATGTCATATACGTATATCTCCATAATGCCATCATTTATTAATTTCTGGAAGATATAGTTAACATATCGAACGAAAACTGCCGGTGAGTTACAGAATCCGAAAGGAGCTCTGTTAAATTTGTATAGACCTTCCTTTGTTACAAATGCCGTGTATTTTCGGCATTGCTCGTCAACTGCAACATGGAAAAAACCGTTTTTTAGGTCCATTACTGTAAAAAATTTGGCTGCTTGCATCTTCTCTAAGACCTCCTCTACAATGGGAACAAGAGTGTTTAATTTGCATTTGTCTACGCATAATCTGTACGTTCCTTCTTTCTTTTTGGCCAGAACTACCTTGCTTGCCACGTCAGAACACGATTCTCGAATAATACCACTGCTAAGCCAGTCCTCTACTTGTTTCCTGACAAATTCTCGTTCTGGGATCGACAAGCGACTTGTACTTTCACGGAAGGCAATGCTGTCCTTTGGTATAATGTTTAGTTTTATTGGGCATTCGTCAGGGTTACTTTTCGGCTTGTAGTTGTATATCATTTATTTAAAAACAGTCGCATGTTAGGGATTTACGTTTATATCAAAATCTTCGGTAGAGCTTACCACATTGAATAAATTTGACTGGGAGAGTTCTTCTTTATTTTCCATCTGTGTCGCCGCAAAGGTATAACCGCTGCTAGTGAGAGTTAAAGTGAATTTCTCCAAAAAATCGAATCCGACCAAAACGTCAACTTTAAGGTTTGAGTCCGGAACAACTAGAAACGTGTGCGTCGTTATTAGTCCATCAACTCAATCGCGTCCGAAAATTCACCCAACACTGAGGTTGCGACGTTGCCTAAACCTAACAACTTTAGAAAACATTTTTGTAGTACACGATTACCGAAAGTCTTTGTAAATTTTTCTTTGCGCATTAATGAAACGTCTGCTTCAGTGTCAATCAAGCACATCATTTTATTTTTACCGATTTGCATCTCCTTGACCCGATTTCTTTGAACACGACATTCACATTGGGCTTAACGGCTGGACAATGTTTGGAAATATGGCCCACACCGTTGCACTTGAAGCATTTTAGGTCGCCCTTACACTCAGCTATTTTATGGTCAGCGGACCCACAGTTATAGCAATGCTGTTGTTTTCGGTTGAATTGTTTTTAGCAACCGACTCTGCCAACTCAAACCGACTTCTAAGCTCCTTAAATGACGTCGAACTATACAATGGAAATTTTAAGTCATCACCCACCTCTAAGCTATCTACAATATAGCTTATTATCGACTGATCCTCTATATGACCCAGTGCTGCCATCTTTCGCATCTGGAGAACATATTCATGGAAATTTTCCGACGCTCGTTTTTTACGGTTTCTAAGCATTTTGTGAATTTCCGCACTACTCAACTGTTTGTCGAATTCGTCCATTAACACTACACACAAATCTTCATAGTTTGATACTGCAATAGTTTCTAGAAACAATTTAGCTGTTCCACTTATTTTGTTTCTGGCGTTGACGTATTTTTGCTTCTCGGTTAATTCATAAGCTTCTGCGTTTTCGTCGAAATTCACTAAGCAATGCCTAATAGAGATCGAGACACCGTCAAAACTAGGAACCACTTTCGCAAAGCTTTCCACCGAAACACAATTTTTATTTTCACTAATTTCACATTTTTCTGCAATCATTTTTATCAATTTTGCCAGGTCACCGTTGTTCACGGATGTGTGTGTCTCTTCCAAGTCTATATTGTTCATTTTGTCTGCAAATTCTTGGTCAACTTC